TCTTCTTCTTCTTCTTCTTCTTCTTCTTCTTCTTCTTCTTCTTCTTCTTCTTCTTCTTCTCTCTTTTTTTCCATCTGCTCCTCCTCGATTTCTTTTTCTTGCGTGTGTACTTGTGCCTTGATAGACTTGTCTTCGGCACTAGGAACCGGTACATTCTTTTCACGAGTTTGATCCTCGTTTTGGCCCTCTTTCACAACGTGTTCGTCTGCAACAGCCTCATTCGCGTGGTCATCAGTCTCCGCGATTTCTTTCTCGCTTGATGGCTGCTCATCAGCAATCTCTACTTCGTTCGGTTTGTTCTCACCCGCGGCTATCGATTCGACAGGGACGATAGCTGTGACCACGGATTCCGCTGCAGGCCAGGAAAGAGGCTCAGCCCCGTTTTTGATAATTTCTTGCACCACGCTGGTGTCTGGTTTGACCTTTATATCGAGCTTAGGGTCCACGTCGCTCATGGGGTCTTCTGGGGTGGATTCTTCGCTAATTTTTCTTCGCTTGCTTTTTTCAGAGTCCGAGCCACTTAGCGAGTCATCGGGGGCTCCTTCTGAATCTGCTTCGCTCCCAGATTCGAAGGGGCGCTTTGCGTATTCATGGGACCTGCGGGTGATGTCACTTGAGGCTTGATGGTGAGGGGTCTTCTGATCAGGAAGCGGGATGTGTGACGTAGACAGGGCGCTTCCTTGCACGCCTGCCTCGGACTCATCGGAATCAATTTCCTGTAGGTTGGCGAGCTCTGTGAGGGCCGAGAGTCTCTGCAAGTCCGTGTGCCTGTCGCCCGTTCTGGAGCTCGAGTCCTCGTTCAAGAAGTCCATTTTGTCTGTTTCTGCCTCGGACTCGTCGTCGCCCAAATCGCTGAGTTCCAGACTTTCGTAGCTGTCCCGTGAGCGGGCACGTCTGTCGCCGAGGGAGGGAATTTCGAACGGAGGAGGAGACGTGCCGATGTCCGTGAGCGGAGAGTCTTTTGTCTGGGGAAGGTCAGAGGCAGACTCTAGATGCCGCAAGTTTTCTTCGGTGAGAACGGGGCCGTGCGGGTGGGTTGCAGGGGCAATGACTGGATCGTGGGCTGGGTTTCGGTCCAGGCCAGGCATTCTCGACTGTGGAAAGGACGGCAGGAATGTAAACAGCGGTCCCGGTTAGCAGCTCACTTTTCGGCTGGTCTGGTGTGTTTGAGAAAGCAGGGGGATCTTGCGCGAGCTGTGGGCCGGAAATTGTGGTGCTGGCAGCGAAGCTGAAATCGTCTGGCGATAGATAGATAGCCGAAGAGGCAGGCCATGGAAAGCCCTTGTGGTTGGAGGCGCCGGCGCACCCGTGCACCACGTATGCGCATTGTATAGTCCGAGCAGAAATGTACAGGCGGTATGCTGGGAACTGGCGGGGCATAATCGAGCCGCGTTTTTTGGCCGTCATTTCGCATTTCCCACTTCGTATTTCCCACTTCGCATTCCCCATTTCGGATATCTCATTTTGCCATGTTTTCCCAGTTTTGTGTTTTTGGTCTTTTGGCAGCTCCCTGTAGATTCGGGCCAGCGACCCAGGAAGATGTTTACTATTAAATAGGCCCGGCTTACTGAATGTGGTCTGTTTTAGTGTTTGTCACGCACTCCCTTTTATCTCCCCTTTGAGATGGCTGCAGAGGGGCGGGTCAAACGGTATGCTCGAAGGCGAAAGCTAAATTAGCTTCTCCTATACAGATGTTCATTCCTTGGACTCGCTGAACAAGAGTATCATGGTGCAAGAATCATGAGATAAAAAGGAGGGCACTACGACCAGTGGCGTGGTCCGTTGAGAATCTGGGGTTGAATACGCGCCGGATGATCTTCCCGAGGCCCTGGTATTGTATCTATCTGCAGGACCGTTTGGGCAAAAACTGGTGCGGGTCGAAAAAGGAGCTGAGAACTAATTAAAGCCAACTGAGAATATCGAAGACTGGCCAGAAACAAGCAGAGATGACTACTTACAAAATGGTCGGAAATGACCAGGAATTGCACGAACTTACAAGAAATTTCAAGAACTTACAAGAAAAACCCCCAAATGTCACCGCACTTTCTCCAAGACTAACGAAAAATCAAACAACTGCATTTCTACTTTCTGCTTGAATCACGGCGCGCGCCAGTCAACTAGTGGACCGGGCTGGGCGCACACCCGTGCACCACCAGAAAAACCGGGCTTGAGATGAGATGAGGTCTGCGAGGCGAATTCTTTGAGCAGCGATAATAGTGGATCTGAGCCTTACTAATGTCTGCTTTCAGCTCTTTGTTCAGTGGTGCCAAAGTCGACGAGACGGTCAATGACTTGTTGAACAAATCCCTGGGACCCGTGGGAAGACAGGATGTCAGGCCCAGAACCGTGGTGGAAGTTCCTGAGGAAACTGCTTCCACCGACAAAACCTCCGGCTCGCAGGCCGAGGGTGCTGTTGCCAAGCCGGTAGATGCCTCCGAGCCAGTGGAGGCTCCCAAAAAGAGAAAGTCGCTGAAAAAAAAGCGCGGGGATGATGACGAGAACGAGGCCTTAGAAGCTGAGTACTACGCCAAAGTGACCGGCGAGCCCGAGTCATCCGCGGAGGAGGAGCAGAAGGTTGAAGCAGCAGGTAGCGACCAAGAGGCCCCTGAGTCTTCTGCCACAAAGACCCCTGCAGACCGTAAGCTGAGCGTGGCCAAGTCCGTCGACTTGAAGGAAGTAGAGCTACAAAAGGCGGAGCGCACCGTATTTGTCGGCAACGTGTCCAACAAAGTGATCTCGTCCAAAACCACCTACAAAGATTTCAAGAAGATCCTCAGAAACATCGGTTCTGTGGAGTCGATCAGATTTCGGTCCATCGCGTTCGACGAGGCGCTCCCCAGGAAAGTTGCGTTTGCCAGAAAAAACCTCCACGACAGCAGGGACACCTTGAATGCCTACGTCGTCTACAAGGAGAAGGAGGCTTCCTTGAAAGCCCCCGAGAGGCTCAATGCTACGGTGTTCGACCACAACCACATCCGAGTCGATCACGTGGCTCACCCGAGCCCCAAGGACAACAAGAGAACGATCTTCGTGGGCAACCTTGATTTCGAGGAGAAGGAGGAGTCTCTCTGGAGGTACTTCAACTCGAAGGTGGACGACGACGTGGAGTCTGTCCGAGTGGTGCGAGATGCCAAGACCAACATGGGTAAAGGCTTTGCCCTTGTGCAGTTCAAGGACACGTTGTCCGTGAACAAGGCGTTGCTTCTAAACGACAAGCCCATGACCAGTGAGGGGAAAAAGCCCCGCAAGCTCCGGATCTCGCGGGCCAAGAACAACGCCAAGCCCTCCGTCATTTCCCCCAACCACTTCGACAACATGAAGAAAACGCAGAAGCCCAAGGCCAGATTGACCGATGACCAAAAGACCAAGATTGGGCGTGCCAAGAAGCTCTTGGGTAAGGCTGACAGAAGCAGTGCTGGCCAGATGGTTGCCGAGGGTTCGAGGGCCAGCAAGGGCCAGACCATTGCGGGCATCAAGGGTTTGAAGAGTGCGCAAGGACGGGTCAAGAAGCCTAGAATCACCAAGAGATCTACGCTGTTCAAGCAAGACAGAAAGAAGTTTGAGAACCTCCATTGAGGAACGCGAGGCGGGTCTGAACAAGAGCTCCAGAGGGCAGCGGTTAAATACGATCAAAGCATGAAATGCATAGTCAAGCAACGAGAGACTGAATCTGTCAACGGGCGCCTGCTGAGTTGCCTGCCCGGAGCAAAGCCTAGCTTTAAAAATCTAGGGCTTTGTATGTAGGAGCTCTGGGTCGAGCCGTTGGTCTGCGCGGGTCTTGGCTGGGCTCTTGATTAGAAACATGGGGGTCAAGAAATCCCACTTTCTCTGTTTTCTCTGAAGAACTTTGTACTACTTAGTGGAGGCAATCTGAAAAACGGCATATTTGCGGCCCGGTCTCCCGGGCCTTCGCATGATCAGTGTCCTTTATTTTTTATTTGCCCTTATCGCTTCCCCATATCTGCGCGTGCATTATCACCCTGGTGGTCCTGCGGCCCCATCTACAGGACCCAGCTGATAAAGCGATATGAGCCCTGCTCGTAGTATATAAAGAACAGGAATCCCACCCACGTCCCACTGTTTTTATTTTTTGCTTTCATTACTACTTCTCTATTTTATTCTGTCGATTTTCTTAGACAAATCCCGCCAGAAATTCGGTACTTCTTGGAGCTTCCGACGGTTCCTTCCCGCTCTCTCCGGCTGGTGCAACATTTTATCAATTGCCGCAAATTAGTCGCACTCCGCACCAGAAACCATTCTTCAAGAGCCTCAAGCCCACCCCAGCTGGTAACTTTTTGTGATTTGTGCTATGGGAACCACCGTGTCAAAAGACGCCCCACCAAGCGCCCCCTTTTCTGAGGAGATTCTCGACGAAAAAGCCGGCATGGCTCCTTTGGAAACCCTAGTTGAGGGCTTGACTATTGGGTCTTCCGACTCGTCTAGTGCCATCACGGCCGGGAACTTGGCGGCCTGGGAGACCCAGCTATTGCAGGACCCGAAAAACAGATTGGCCCAGAACGCGTTGGCCAAAAACGCCATCACCGATATCGTGGCCGCAAGCGGCTCGGAGCTATCGTTGAAAAACCGGTACTTCTTCAACGTGGAGGTCGACACCATTGGCTCGCCCTCGTTCTTGAACAACCAGAAATCCTCAGGCAGGTGCTGGATCTTCGCCACGTGCAACGTCTTGCGGGCGCACGTGATCAAGAAATACGGGTTGCAGCCGGACTCGTTCCAGTTGTCCCAGAGCTATCTATTCTTCTATGACAAGTTAGAGAAAGCCAACTACTTTTTGGAGAACATCATTGACACTGCCAGCGAGCCTGTGGACTCGCGTCTCTTACAGTTTTTGTTTTCGGGCTCCGTTAGTGATGGCGGCCAATGGGACATGATTGTGAACGTCATCGAGAAGTACGGCGTGGTGCCCAACGAGGTTTTTCCCGACAACAGCCAGGCTTCCAGCACGTCGCAGTTGAACTATCTTTTGACCAACAAGTTGCGGGAGTACGGCTTAGTCTTGCGCAAATTGGTACACCAAGGCACGCCCCGGAACGAGGTTCTTGCTGTGAAAAACGCCATGAATAAGGAGGTCTACAACATCATTGCCTTAGCCCTTGGAACCCCGCCAAAGCCAGGCGATCGGTTCAAGTGGGAGTTTTTGGACAAGAGTGGCAAGTACCTGGCGTACGACACCACGCCACTTGAATTCTATCAGAGCCACACCGGCTACGATGTTTCCAAGAGGTTTTCCTTGATCCATGACCCCAGAAACCCGTACAACTCCTTGTACACTGTGGACAGGTTGAACAACGTTTCTGGGGGCAAGCCCATCGAGTACGTGAACTTGGAGTTGCCCGCCATAAAAAAGGCTGCAGTTGCCATGTTGAAAAGCAACGAGCCCATTTTCTTTGGCTCCGACGTGGGCAAGTTCAACAATAATACCACGGGTGTTTTGGACACGGGTGCCTACGATTACAAGCTTGCCTTCAACACGTCGTTGAAGCTCTCCAAGCTGGAGAGGTTGCAGACCGGGTCTTCGGCGATGACCCATGCCATGGTGATTACGGGGGTGCATTTGGACAATGTCTCTGGGGCGCCTGTCCGGTGGAAAATCGAAAACTCCTGGGGCGACCAGGTGGGCGATAAGGGCTATTTCGTGATGACCGACGCGTGGTTTGACGAGTACGTGTTCCAGATCGTCACCAGCAAGAAGTACGTGGAAAAGTCTGTCTACGATTTGTGGAAGGCGAAAAAGTACGAGCAGCTCCCGTTCTACGATCCGATGGGGGCATTGGCTTGAGGGGAACTTCTGCTTATTGACTACTGAGCCGGTTTATACTTAGCATTCCAGCAAGTCCATCAAGTTCAGCTTGAACTTTGCCTTGAGCGTAGCCCAGTCCGTGATGTTCGGATCCCCGTCAGTAATGCCTATATTGAGCCCGTTCTTGGTCGTGGAAGATACGGTCATGTGATGGGTGCCCAACAAGGCTCCAGCCGAGGGCGCAAATAGAATGTCTTCGATCTGGAATTTACTGCCATCGTCGTATTGGAGCACGCTGATATGACCCAAGTTCGTGGCTGAGAGACAGAGGTCGTCTTTTTCTTGCCCGACGACAGGGTCCATATAAACTCCGACCGGCATGGCCTGCGCGAGATAATACTGCTTGACCCAGTCCTCACTGCTGAGTGTTGTGTGGAGATAGTCGTGGTATTTCCGCACGGCTCCCCAGGTGAACTTGGTGCCAGGAGGTAGAAGGAAAGACGCAGCGTACGTGTAGAAGCCATCGTCAAAGCGGCCCTCATTTCCAAGGTAAGATGTGTGCGTCTGGAGACAGTCAAAACGGTTTCTGAAACTGGCGGCCACGCTTGTCTTCAAGTTCTTGCCCATGTACAAGTCTGGATACAACTCGTTGAGCGTGTGGATGTACACCATGAGGAGGTAGGTCTGGAGCTTGACCTGGTTTTTTCTACATGCCTGTATCATGATGTTCAATTGCTCCGGACTGAAGTTGATGAAGCTAGGCGTTGTGAAGTTGAGTCCAGAGTCCTTACCAACGATATATGTGCTTTCAAAAAAGGTATCTGGCAGAAAACGCTCTGGTGGACGGTCGACGAAAAACAGCTCGAACCGCTTTTTCTCAAGCACGCTGTGGATGATGCCTGGCCAGACAGAAATGGCCAGTTGCAACCCACGGAACAAAAGCCGCGTGGCCAAGTTTGGCAGGTAGTTCACACGGTCAAAGAAGCCGGGCGATATCTTGTGTTCGAGTATAGGCAAGTCCTTGGAGAGATTGAATAAGACGTCTCGAGTCTCGGGCTTGTCGACATTGTTAAGTCCTTCAACAAAGTCTTTCAAGTACGCCACCACAGAACCTCCATCGGTGAAGCAATGGGCGCTATTGAAAGTGATCCAGCCTGTTCGCTCGTAGTAGGTGAGTTTCCACAACGCATGCTTGTTGTGATGATTCTCAAGAGAAGACTGTTCCGTGAGGAGTCGCGTGTTGGCCCCTTCTTCTTTGAAACACCGGTCCACATCTCTGTTGACGGTGAATACGTCTTTGAAACGAATCTCTTCGACGGGCTCGTATCTGATTTGCTGGCCTTTCTCAACAACATGAGAAAATAACAACGGGTACTTCAAGACCAACAGTCTCAAGGATGCAAATGCCTGCTCCTCGCCTAGAGGCCGGTTGAGCTTGGCAGAAATTCCCACGCTTTTATACATCTCATTCTTCTCACAGTAGTAGAGTGCTTGTTCAAGAAATTCGAGATCTCGAGTCAAGTCTTGGATAGTAACAGCCATTGGAAATGATGCAAAAGAGCGAATGGCACGGGCAAACTTGGAACTCGGATCAGAATAAAAAAGTGAGTCGTTCCGGCTGGATCTCAGACAGTTTCACCGATGACATGGAAAAATTGGCCATTTCCGGACAAGATGGTCGGAATTCAGGTAAGGTCTTCTCGGAAAAACGCCTCAGCTTCGTATATGGGCAAGTTTAACCCGGGATCTTCTCTTATGCATGAATACGAACGCGAGAATCCATCGAACAATGCCGGAAATATCGGCGTGGCCAGCACCTATTGTAATGGGTCGCTCTGCGGGGCAAAGCATACACCACAATCTGATTTATATGATACCTCGAGGGACAGCTCGGCCTATCCATTATATACTGAACATGTTTTGCTTGTCTTACCGTGATTCTGCCTCCCATAATTCTCTTGCATCACTCAACTTCATGACTCTTTGGCCTCTTCCAATTCTTAGATTTGAGATATGCTCCAAGTGAGGTTTTTGGTAGCAGGCCAAAATTCACAGATTGTAACGTATAGCTCATCTTATTCACCATCAATACTTTCATCAGATCTCTATAAAGATAGTTCACTATTGTGTTCATACACAAGTATAATGTTCGATGGTATGCCCTATGCACTTGGTCATGAAAGGCAAGCTTCGAGCAACTCTTCTTTCCGAATCAGACAAGAATTCAAAATCTCAGCCCGAAGATTTCACCGCGGATCACCTTGTTTTTGTCTATTTTTCACTAATTTCTGCAGCATTGAAGACTAACATGGTCCTGCCTTTTCACATACACGTGCTAGTGGCATTGATATAAAGGGAAGGAGAAGCGTAAAACTCGAGTATACATTTCAGTCGAAAAAAATTTAGGTAAAAAGATTGCAGCACAATTTCGTATATGGTCTCCCATTACACCACTCAGTATGGCCCGTAACTATAGTTGATCGGACGAGTGACAGTGTGTTCTCCATGGTAACGTCGCAATCAATGAAGATTACTCTCGAACTTTTGTATTCACAAGTAGACAGATTCCTTGAAGTACGTCAATTTTTAACGCTGAAATCATCTCTCTTAGAGGTTCCAAATCCGGGCTGTGTTTGGAAAATGGGGGCCAAGTTTTAACCCTTGGTATGTAGCCGGGAGCTGCTTAAAGGCTTTTTTACATATACTATTTATATAGTTTTGCTCTTTTAATCAGATTGATCTAATAAAACGAAATTATTGTAAGGTCCCGGTATCAGCTTGACACTGAAGGTCCCTGTAAGCGCATATATGACTATATGCACTTTCATTATTGTGAGTTTCGTCAGATATCATTTTGAACAACTCTTAGAATATTTCCTCGAGTGCAAAGGGTTCCGTTCACTTGACCTCCAAATAAATTATATAAAGGTGGAATAAAACTCCTGTAGAGTTCCAGAGAAACCAGTGATCTATTAGTAATACTTAACCCCTGTGTCCCGTGAAGTCCCCAACAATTATGGGCTTTTTACATACAAGTCTGTTGATCAGAATCTAAAGTGAAATGTGTACATTAAGGTTTCAAATAGACTCAAGTCATTTGTGACTTTCAGAGTTTTCTATAATACAAACTACATCATCAATTAATCTTGTTGAACTCTGTCTTGGATCTCTCTAAGCTTATACGCTGACTTGCATAAATCATAGATTCATGAAAGATCTGTCTTCCGACGCAACTTCTTTGCTGCTATTAGATGTCAATCCTCCCGAGAGTTTCTCCAATATTTATAAACTGCCCTTTGTTCCAAGTATCATAAATAGTTGGTCTTTATTTCTGTGTACGTTACAAGCCATATATATGCATACCTTTAGGAATAAGACCTTTTTTACATGGAAAGAATTTATTCACCCCTGATCCAAAAGTTAGGCCTTCAGGCTACAATAAAAAGCTAGTAAGTAATATAATATAAATTACTTTGCATTAAACGCTCACATTGACACTACCTCAAATGTCGTAAGGTACTTCGTTGAGCTTTCAAGATCGCGCATGCCTAGCATGGAGATTTGAAAGATGGGTATGTTTTAGATTATCTAGCACCTTCCTTGAATCGACATTGGACCTTTCTTTGTTATTAATTTTTGTCGAACTTCTAAAAGTGAAAAAAAAAATTACACCCAGGTTTGTATTGCTAAATTTTCACTGACGATATTACGGATAATATGAATTAATTTATGCTTGCAAAAAAACTAAATTCTATGTTTTTAAACTTAGAGCTCGGTATATAATAACCCAAGCTTTTTGGAGCTTGAAATAGTCAGTCCCATCTTATAAAAACCGATCTATTTGGTACAAAATTTTACTTCTAATTTCATCTGAGTGTTTATTACTGGATTGACAGGAGCGCGAACCAGGAGACAAGACAAGGTCACGTGACAGATCAATACAGACTGAGGCTGAAAGATCTTCGGATTTCCTTGCGAGAGGTTGCAAACATTCGATGTATGGTTTTTGAATTACAGTCCTTAAGAGTAGAAAAGGTTCTCTTGACATCAAAATAATTGTTATGTGCTTATCGTGAAGTCTCTCTTTGGGCCCTATCTTATTCCGACGAGCACTCTTCACCCTCTAATTTTGAGATTATATCATTGGAAAGTATGTTTTGAGCTTCACATTAAGCACAGCAGCCCGTCTATAAGACTTGGAAAAAGAGGGGCTTTGTCTGTCTACGCTCTATAAAATACTCAAGCCAGACGTATTTGAAGACGAAGTTGTTGCCTTGAGTCTATCAGCTTGACGGTTGATTCTGGTTGCGATGAAAGTTTATTGTAATTAATTTGAAATATACAAGTGACCTACTAACCACACCATTTAAAGAGATTACACGTTTTGTTTAGTGACATACTTATCATGAAGAAAAGAGTAGAAACCTGAGCTGTCTATCGTCGAATTGCATAGACGAACACATAGGAGGCAAAGTGATCGAAGAACTTTTACGTACGGAGACAGACAATGATCCAAGGTATTTTTCTTGAGCTTTTGAAATTAGGAAGTCAACAACTACCAAGTTACCGAATTGCAATAGTCAATGGATTCGAGACTGGTCAGCCGTGCATTACCCAAAATATTTTGGGAGCTACGGTGAAGCTAGCGATTTGCTTCACCACCGAGCCCGTACACCGTCGAGACACTACCACCAAATTATCCCTTTGGCTCCTCAGAGCTATAGCAAGAATACAAGAGGCCCATCATGGCTTTTGATTACGGAAGTTGGGCGATATTGTGGGGCACTTGATGCTTTGTCCGGATATAGAGATCTCCAACAGGGCCCTGCCTGCAGGAGTGCATCATAAACACGAGCGTGAACATGCCAACGAGTCTCTATGTCCAGAGTTGGCACTGCTAAACCTCTTCACACGTGTCAAAAGAGCCCACAGCCATGTACACAGTGGAAAAGCACAAGTCACGTGCGCCGGTCAGTCTGCTTTTCACCGAATTGTCGGCGCCCGCTTTGCATGCCCGCTCGGAATCACTAGAACTGCGGTTCCATACGGCGTCTTCGGCCGCTGACTTGAGCCATTTGGTGGCGGACATCGACACAGAAACAGCCCAGACCGATGCACAGCTAAGACACTTTATCGAGGCGGCAGCCCGCAAACACACGCAGCAGATCTCTGCGGTCGAATTGACGCGAGCGAAGCTCTCGGGCGCCATCACTAATCTGAACGACTTGACGCGGGTGTTCTCCGCAGCCAACGACTTGGGCCATCTGCTCACTTCGAAGATCAAGGCGTTGGACCTGGAAATCGCCAATGTGGACAACACCCTTGCGTTTGTGGCCGACACGCAGGCCCTCAAGAACAACATTGGCCAGATCCAGTATGCGATCGAAAAGCGCAACTGGGCCGAGGCCGCGCTGTGCATCCACACGATCAAACACAGGCTTCTTCCCGGCTTGGTGGGCGGCAGGTTTGCGTCGGCAGTCGTGCCGTCTTCAAACATCCCCGAGCTCCCGGGCGTCACCATAGATACGTGGGTAGCACAACTTACAGACACGTTTGTGGCGCTCTTCAACGATGCCGCCAAGCGCCGGTCCGTGGCGGAGATCTCGGCGCATTTCCAGCTCTTCCCGCTCATCGACCAGCCGGAAGTCGGCCTCAACTGCTACTCCAAGTTCATCTGTTCGGTCATCAGCGACACGTCGCGCACGCTCATCAACTCGGCCACGCTGGGCGAGATAAAGCCCGGGATTTTCGCCAGTGCCACTGCCAGCTTGTTCGAGAGCGTCTCCACCATGTTGTCCCAGCACACGCCCTTGATCACCAAGCACTACGGGGAGGCATATCCGCAGGCCATTGTCTATGTCGTGGCAAAGATCCAGCGCGAGATCGACTCGCAAATCGGCGCCATTGCCGACACTTTCTACGACGTCAACCGCGTGGAAAAGACGCTCCAAGATATCAAGCTTCACAAGTTCAACGCGCTCAAGAAGCGACTCGCAGACTTCCAGCTGGAAAATGCCCACAACGCAAACGTCATGGATACCGACATCACCTCCATTGTGGAGGTCGGCGACTTGGCCAACGAGCTTGCCGCCATCTTGCACCACTGGTCGCTTTACTGTAAGTTCATCACCGTCAAGTATTTCCAGAGCCTGCCGTCTGCAATGGCAGAGCCTGCCAAGCCCAGAACCGAAGGGTTGAAGCTCCCGGAGTTGCTTGCCTCCTCAAACTTCGAGACCAAAATCCATAACAAGCTTCTTCCCGCGTTCGAGAGACTATGTGCGTACTACTTCCGCCGCTCTCTTGAAAAGGCAGTTTCCATCGAGGAGCTCCCACCGTTGGAGCCATTTTTGGCTGCGTCGCACGAGTGCGTGTCGCCCGAACAGCCGCCGATTTCTTCGGTGATCGAGGATGTGACCTTGGTTTTCAATAGCACCTTGAGAAACGTGTTGGACTCAGCCCAGACTTCCACCGTGCGCCAATTTGCTTCCGAGACGCTTAAAGTGATGCAGAACGACCTCATCAATGGCATTCTACAGAAGGCTCTAGTGGACAATCAACCGCGGTACAACAACACGCTCTATATGATCGAGGAAGACGCCGCCACAAGTAATACAGCCACACCTTCCGCGACAAGATCAGGCACCCCGGCACCAGAACCAATGGGCGGTTTTTTCAAAGGCGCCTCCAGTGCATTTGGGAATGTCGTGGGTACAGGCTCGGCTATAGTCTCGGCAGCAAACCCAGTTGCGGCAGGAAACAGCTCAAAACTCATGAGCTTCGTCATATACCTCAATACTGTTGCTACAGGCCAGGAGTTTTTTCAACAAATCATCCTGAACTTCACGACCAACAACCCAAATTACCTCAAGTCGAACTACCCATTCGGCCATGACGAAGAAATCATTAATCATATCATCAAGACCGAGTTGCTTGAGCCGTTTACAGCTGCCACGGGACAGGTGGTCAAGCAGTCACTTCTTATGATTTTGAATCAGTCGATCAAAAACAGACTCGTGCTGATGATAAATGAGTGTTTCCCAGACGCAACCGAGGACAATTTAATATTACACTCACTGGCGACCCTTAACGATCCAGCTACAATCTCAAAGTTCAAACAAGATTGGGACTTCCTCATCAAGCCCTACAAGCAAACATTACACAAAACACTTTATGACAAACTCCTCCGCCTTATCGTGGTGAATATAGCTAACATGATGGAAAAGAGATTGATAGCGGTTTTGAAAAAGTTTAAAATCAACGAGTTGGGTGCCCTCAAGCTCGACAAAGATCTTTCGTACATCATCAATGAGATTTGCGAGGATGACTATGATTTGAGGGAAAAGTTTGTGAGATTGACACAGTTGGTTTTGCTTGTGGGAATGGATGACCAAGAATACGAATTGAGCTCGTACAATGGCGAAGAAGATGACAGTGGAATAAATTGGGTGTTGACTCCCCTCGAGCGTAAGCAGATTCGCAGATTCAGGTTTTGATCATGCTGATCCTCTAAGGAGCAAAGAGCTCCAACAATCTCTACAAAAAAAGAAATACAAAGTTTCTGCACTTATTTCGTTCCGTTCATTGTCAATCACGAGCTATACAAGTACGTACATGAATGGCTAGATCAAGCTTAGTTTCTCCGCACTTCCGTGAGGGGCTGGTCATACGAGATCTTCTCGACCTCTCTAGTCTCACCCTTGATGAGCCGCTTATGTTCGACACGGAGTTTTGGCGGCAAGTTGTCGAATTTGGGATGCGTATAGTCGCACTCATAGCCCTTTGGACAGAAACCTGTCAAAAACATTGGACAGAGGATTTTCCGCACATGTCTGTTCGGACAGTTTGGCCCTTCAGGACAGAAGCCCCTTTCATATTGCAAACACTCGGGGATTTTTTGCTGCGGATCGACATGAAGATACAAACATTCGGGCATCTGGGTGCAATAGCCGTTTTTGGAGAAGAAAAGACATTCGGGCATCTTCCTTAGGTTATACTCGTGGAGAAATTCACAGTGGTCATTTTTCTTGCAAAGGCCTCTCAACCAATGCTTACACACAACCTTGTTGTTGAACATGGAAGCTACATGTTTGTTTGGACAGAAGGGACCGTTCGGGCAAGAGTCTGGCTGATTGGGTTTGTAGAACTGGCACACGGGCCGATCGGGATCTAGGCCAAAGTTGAACTCTTTTCGAAGGAAAGGCTCGAACTTGAAACGCTTGTTTTTTGTGTCTGGATGTATTATAGGGTTAAGAGAGAGCATGGGGATTAGTCAAGTAAGTGTGTCTGGCAGAAGTGCTGATGTGATACCAGTCTGAAAATGACCTACCGGATATAACAGTCGTGCGGTGCACGGGTGTATGAGTAGAGAGCAAAGACTTCGGGGAAATGGTCAAGGGAATATGATCATGCTTTCAGATGAGTAAACCAGGCCTTTGTTCACAGGAACAATTCCAAGATCTTTTCTAGAATTTTCAATTGTATCTGAGTCTTTTTGCCGCAAAGTATAGACTTGTTTTTTCGGGCTCGGCTGCCTTAAGACGCGTTCGAGGATAGACAGTAGGGGCACCTCAAAACGCAGGGTTTGGTCCAGAAAAGAGTAAGTTCCAAGTTTATTAAGCTCTACTAGACACAATTAAGAAACTCTGCAAATTCATCTCTTTAGGGCGAGAATCAGACCGTAAATTGGCCAATGGGGTGAGGTCCGAGATTGCCGAGAAGCACGAGTCCTTGGAATGAAGATCAAACAAACGAAAAGAATATAATCACATGCCAAGTTCTCATGAAAAAAAACCCGAAATATAGTACCTGGAGAGTTAAAAATATAATTTGTTCCCAAAAAGTCGTTTAGCCTGACAGAATATATTCCCACTGAAATTCGCGCACATAACCTGCAACCGACATGCACCTACAGATCACCTGATCCGCACGCCTCATGACCTGCTTCCTCCATGACCCAGGATCTACTACATTTGATGCTATAAACTCCACAAGAAAAAACCTTTTTAAGAGCTCAGAGCTTTTTATAAGCAAACAATTACTCCAATATTGCAAAGCTGCTATTCTTTTCAATCACTCCAGGCAAGATCCTCTTTATCTTGTTCTGGTCGCTCATGATACGCTTTGTTTCGCAATCGTCTTCAGTCTCACAAACACTCACGAAAATGACACCCATTGCGCCTCAATTTCACACTGTAGTTGTCGGGTCTGGGCTTGCTGGACTAACTGCAACATTGAAACTTCTGGAAAAAGGGTTTTCAGTTGCCCTTGTGGAGAAAACCGCATCTCTAGGTGGGAATTCCATCAAGGCCTCCTCTGGTATTAACGGCGTGCCTACCAAATATCAAGATGCCTCCGAAGGGGACTCAGTGGCTAACTTTGTTACCGATACTACTGTATCTGGCAAAGGCTTGTGTGACAAGAAATTGGTGGACATTTTGGCGGGCGACAGTGCCTCTGCTATCGAATGGCTCACGCAAGAAATGAATGTGAACCTTTCTGTAGTCAATAGGTTGGGCGGCCATTCATTTGCACGCACACACAGAGGCAGCGGCAAGCTCCCTCCTGGATTTGCTATCATTTCAGCGCTAGCAAAAAAAGTCAAGGACGCGCCCAATGTGGAAATCATGACCCTGGCCCGACTCCAGGGCTTCTTGAAAAATGACCGGCACGTGACAGGCGTGGTAGTCGAAAAAACAGACGAAAACGGAGAGGCGTTCCAAGAAAAAATCTCTGCTGAAAATGTTGTTTTGGCCACGGGTGGCTTTCTGGCAGACACGGCCAGCCAAGATTCGCTTGTTCGCCAGTACAGGCCGGATTTGGTCGACTTTCCTCTGACAAATGGCCAGCAAACGACCGGAGACGGACATAGAGTTGCAATCTCTGATTTAGATGCAAAACTAGTGCAGATGGACCAGATCCAGGTGCATCCCACGGGGTTCATTCAGTTGAAAGATGAGTCCACACGTGCTAGTAAGTGGAAGTTCTTGTGTGGCGAACTTGTTCGTGGGATTGGAGGGATTCTTCTCTCACCCACAAACGGGGAAAGGTTTGTGAACGAATTAAGCACACGAGACCATGTCACAGCCGCTATCATGGAACATGGTGGCGACTCGAAAGTGGCGATCATCATTGTTGGTTCCGAGGATTATAAAAAGGCTGCCTCGCACATTGGCTTCTATGTTTCACAACTGCTTATGTTCGAGGGCAATGCGAAGAATGTCTGCGAAAAATTAAGAGATGTTGATCCAGGCAGTTCGTGCTCTGAGTTAGAGATCCAATCCGCTCTCACAAACTATAACCGCAACGTTGAGTCTCAGACTGACCTCTATGGACGCTCACATTTTGGGAACCCTATAAAGGACGAGTTCTATTTTGGCTTCGTCACGCCGGTGTTGCACTTCACAATGGGAGGGGTTGAGACAAACGAATACCGGCAGGTTATTCAGCAAAGCGGAGACATCGTCCCCAACGTCTATGCTATTGGCGAGTTGAGCGCAGGCGTTCATGGGGCTAACCGTTTGGCAGGCAGCTCGTTGCTAGAATGCGTCGTGTTTGGAACCCGTGTGGCTGACTACATTTCGGGTAAATAAAGCAGACATTGCCGTGTTCACGCCATTAGTTATGTAGTTTCGGAATATGTTTTATGTTCAACGAGCGGGTATAGGTAAATCTCTGCGAGGCTAGGGCGGGGAAAGAGCACTTTTTTCTCTTCAAAGACTGTAATTTCTAACGCACACTTTGAAGCAAGGTATAGCATGATACCATAGGTCAGTATTATTGACCTGACCTAGAACAGACACCCTGCCCGTTTTTGAGACTATCAGTTGTAATTTGTTTTTTAATCAAAGATATCAAAAAGCATGTTCAACTGTGTTATGATGATGCATTTCTCGAACTCGAAAACCCAGAAGTTGGTGTCATGTATCAGCCACACAATCATGACGCCTCAAGCAAATGAGATCTCGCTCTTGAAACGACAGATCCCTGGTAGTACTCTCAAGCTTGCCTCTCCGCAGAATGTACTACAGAAATTGCTCATAGAGGAGGCGGAGATGCCTCTAGGCTCATGAGGTCCAAGGTGTTCAAGTTCTGTTCACTTGCACTTGCCCTCTGGACCACAGAGGATTTCCGCTTGCGCCTCTCCTTCTTGTCTTTCCGCCAAGGCTTTTTCTCCGCTTCAGCTGTAGCTCTAGTGAAATCAAGCAAGTAGTTTCTTCTGCGAATGCCTTCTTTGATCCAGAATTCATCTCTATAGAGCTCCCAGCCCTCACGGATATCTGTGCTAAAGCTCCGAGGCACAAGCACAAGCTTGATGTCATTGAGTCCGAAGCGGGGCTGACACCGCAGCTGCACAGACACTAGCCAGACCTCGAGTCGCGAAGAAGGGTTGCGGGCCATGGACGGCGACACCGAGTGGCAGAGCTTGAGAGCCATGATGCAGAGGAAGAGGCCCAACTCGCGCGCCAGGTCAGCGGTGCGGTTGGCCAACGACAGCTTCGTCTTGATCAAGCGCACGTTTAGTTGGCGGAGGCCCTTGTTGATCGAAGAGAGAAACTTGCGGGGCAATACTATCGTTTTCTGATACTCTCCCAGCAAGTGATAGAGCAAAAGAGTGACGACAAGCGTGAGAAGAATGAGTTGGAGAAACGCCCGGAGCGGCCCGCGCGGCGCAGCGAAGTACAAGAGGTAGGAGACTGACGCCACGAGCGCACATAAGGCCGCGAGGAACGTGAGGTACTTGCGCCGTAGCGTGCGCTGCTGCACCACCTGCTGCCGTAGACTTTCCTCCAAGATGAGCAAGTTGCGGAATATCTTGCCCGTGGCGGGCGTCAGCGTATACCCGCCGCCTTGCGGAAGCTCCGAGCGGTGGGACTTTTCGGAGCGGTGGGATCTTTCTGAGGCAGCGTCAGACGCCGGTTTCGACCGTCTCCGGCCCAGTTTTTTCGCCCGCGGCAGCAGTGGCGGCAGCACGGATGCCGCGCCGGCGGCATTCTTATGTCGAGCCCCCCTGGGCTTGGTCGGCAGTTGGGACTCGGAGTCCAGGGCACTCGAGTAGAAGACAACGTCCGTTTTCTCGTGGCCTTGGGCCGAGCTGGGAAGCGAAAGCTCCATCAGCCGGCGCCGCGGCCCAAACGGGCTGTCGCCAGATGGAGCCTTGCGTGTGTCCGCATACGACGAGGTGAAGCCCGAGTCATGGCCCGCGTGCACGTGACCCGGGCGTGTTTCTGGCGGCGTCTCGTTGGGGTTGCCGAGGGGGTGTTTTGGCGCCGGCGGGGTCAGTGGCGGGTCCATGGTGGGTGTGGGGTGCAGTCACGGGGATCTCACACTTTGCCACAGTGTGTTGGTGGTGAGGGTGTGGAGGGGAGCGGGATTTGTGAGGCCGAATCGTGGAGAAAAAGACCTGGCGCTGACGGAGCGCGATGCTCAGGCCCGCCAGGCAAAGGCGCGCGAGAACGGGGCCAGGATTTTGGGTCCGGAGATTTGGGGCGGCAGATTTGGGGCCGCACAAAGCGTGCTGCAGAAATGGGTCCTCCATATTTTGGGCCGCGGCAGGGGGCTAGGATCAAGAGCACAAGCACTGGGGCCTCGGCCCATTTGTGACTCACTTGTTTTAGTGAGTCTTTGTACTGAGTGAACTCGGGCCGCCTGCTTTCACAAAGCATGCGGGACTTGGATCCTTTTGCCATCTGATATTGTCCTCTGATCCCAAGCGCCCGCGCCCAAGACATGTCTCTATAGCTTAGTTCGTATGCCTCGGCACCAGGCCCAGACAGATTTTGAGCTCACACCTCAAAAGAAACAGAAGGCCAAAGCTTCCTTGTATTGAATTTCACAAGACAGCTTCATGTGGTGTGTTTGTTTGTGAATGACGCAGAGTCTCTCACCAGCGCCGGCGCCTAAACGTCCTGCTAGCCCATCGAAAAAGATGGACTCAGCTCTAGATTTGTTGTTATAAGCTTGCTGCAAAAAATCACTTACCTCCCATACTACTGAATCTTCTTTAGGCTGTCTTGATAAAGACAGTTTTGTAGTGTATTGTAGAAGAAGTGGCATACTATGCGTATACCCAACGAGACTGGGGGATTGCGAAAACTGGCTGGCTGCGAAAAACTGAGCCTGATATTCATGGATATGGCAACGAATCCACACTAAAGTTGTATAGGGAGAGCTAGAAAAAGAACTAGCTTCTTTGATTTGTTCTTTTTGATAGACTATTCTGGTTCACTTATCAGCTTTTGCAAGTCCTTGGTGGGCTGACTCCACTACAGTCACCCGCGACTTTGTAGGGGAATAAACATTGAATTGCCATGAGTTCTGCAATGGTGGCTTTCATATGTTTGGTTTCGACAAGTGTAATATCACCCCAAACCAACGTTTTGCCTGTTTTGATGAATGTTGTTGGCCTTTGAAGACAGGGCGATGGAGATTATGACTAGTGAGAATGAAGAATTGCTTCGCGTCCAATAATACTGAAGTAGCTCAGTGTGGTTCCATTCGGGGAAAGGATCGGGGAATACTGGGGAATTCTCAATATCGTCACCCTTGAATTGGAGCCAGTGTGCCCTATTATTCAAAGCGAGTATGCTTTTGGAATCAAATGCTATCTAAGCGTACAGGTCTATGGCCTGGCTGACCTGCGATACATGAAGCGCGGTATTTTGCGTTTTGAACACACATGCCCTGAGCTTTACAATCATTACCTCACTTCGTATTACATCCGTGCTATGCTGATCCATTGGAGTGTGAAACGAAAAAATATGGGGGCTCTCAGGAAAAACTGAAAACTCTTGATCACATAATAACGGCCCATTATGTCAAACAAGTTTGGTGCTAGAAAAGCATGGTTACGCGTGAGCCAACCAATACTTCAAAACCTTCCCTATACTTTTCGATATCCTTCTTGGCCTCTAGTCCTTCAACTCAGCCAAAAAAGCCAGCAAACAAAAAACATCAAAGAAGCAGCTGCAAAAGGGCTTGAGCACCTTGTCTTATTGAATCTTGTGCTGTCTCGTGACTATGGATCTAACGACAAGCCTGTACAAATGAATTTCTTCAATTGTCTGTTACAGCTTCCGGCCGTGGTCTTGATTTTCAACGCGAGTACAGTTACACAGAAAGTCTGCTTCCTCGTGATCGTTGTCTTGTGGAAACGGTCAATATCATGGGCTCTCCACAGTTATCCATCACCTGTATATCACCTGTATACTACTTCACCTGTCTATCACCTGTATATGCTTCACAAGATTAGATCAGCCACAAGGTGTCGGACCGCCGGTGTGTCTTAACGGTCGATTTATCATACAGGCAAGGCTCCCATAGCAGCAGTGTTTGATTATCGCTCCTCATATTTTTTGAATATCGTTGTCCATTCTTAGGCCCTGCGCGATAATTAGGGCCGCCGATCGCATCATACGGTTGGCTGGCTCATCAATGTCAAGACAGGCAATGCAGCCCCAAACTCTCTAAAACGCTTTCTCAAATCCTTTTTGGAATCCCGCTGAATAAAAAGTGAAAAAAGGTCCCAAAAATCCCCGGGGCTTCTTGCCGAAATTTCCCCACAAGGCCAGCTCGGCTTGGCCCCATGCATTTTACGCAGGGCCGCACAGGGCCTGCTTTTTCAGAGCCACGCGTCCCAGACATAGACCTCAGCTTCCTGATCTCATACAAGGAGGTATAAAACACATCTATTTTGCCCGAAAACACACTGCTTTTTTTCTTGCCTAATGTCGCACAAGCAGCTCAAAGAAGAATTTGTGTCGGGGCTCACGGGCGGGTCTGTCCAGGAAATATACGCCGTCACCGGCACGGCACTAGCCGCTTTGCTAGCACATACATGTGTCCAGCGGTGGCTCGTACCCCGGATACCAATCCTCACGAAATTCCCTGTTCTGTTCATTGTCGCGTTTTATTTTGATGTGTTGATCCAACTTCAGGCCATCACGATCTATGGCGGCAGGGTGCTGGGCTTGTACTATACGGCGGCCTCCATTGCCATTGGTGCGTTCGTATATGGGTGTATATACGTAGCAGGGCACAAGCAGCACAAACAACAGAAACAGCAGAAACAACAAAAACAACAAAAACAACAGAAACAACAGAAACAGCACAAAGAGGCATCCAAAAGGAACACGTGTCTGGAGACGCTTGGCCAGATTCCCTACATCACAGCGTACCGGTCGCAGATGCTTGTCATCACCAACTTGGCCATTTTGGCCGTCGACTTCCACGTGTTTCCCCGTAGATTTGCCAAAGTCGAGACATGGGGCACGTCCATGATGGATTTAGGGGTGGGCCTGTTTGTGTTTTCCATGGGACTTGCAAACTCGCGTTCGCTCATCAAGAAAAGCCTAGCCAAGCACCAGAACTCGCAGAATTACCTCCGTTTGCTCTGGGGAAACACATTGAAGGCGCTTCCCGTGCTTTGCCTAGGCCTAGTGCGGCTTGTGAGCGTTAAATCGCTCGATTACCAGGAGCATGTGTCCGAGTACGGTGTGCACTGGAATTTCTTCATGACCCTTGGTCTTTTGCCGGTCTTCCTCGGGATCGTGGACCCGCTATTTGCCGTGGTGCCCAGGTTCATTGTGGCCTTGGCCATCGGCATTGTTTACGAGTGCATGTTGACCCACGGCGGGCTTGGCAGGTATGTGCTTGACGAGTCCAACAGACATGACAATCTATTCACCCTCAACAAAGAAGGGCTTGCGTCTTTTGTGGGGTATCTGAGCATATTCATCTTCGGCCAGTCGTTCGGGTCTTTCGTGCTCCCAACCAGAAAGTTGCCCAACAACTTGGTAGGCATAGGCTTGCCCCAGAAACCCAGGCGGTGGCTCACCGTCTCTCCAACACAAGGGCTTGTGATTGCGACGCTTGTACTGTTTGGGTTGTTTCATGTCTCTGCCGTGTCAGTGTTCACTGGTGCCATTTCCCGCAGATTGGCCAACCTCCCCTACGTGCTCTGGGTGGTCAGCTACAACGCGGCAATGTTGTTGGGCTACAATTTAGCAGAACGGTTGGCCGGCCCTATCGACTCCAAGATCCTCAATGCCATCAACAAGAACGGATTGGCCATTTTTTTGGTTGCAAACCTCGCGACGGGGTTGGTGAACATGGGGTTCGATACTTTGCAGGCCAGCGACGGAATGGCGTACTCGATTCTAATCGTCTACTCTCTTTCTTGGGTTGGCCTTGCGTTGGCTCTCGACCACTACAAGGTCTACATCAAGATCTGAGATATCCGTCCAGGAAATTCTTGGGTGCCAAAATTTTATCCAGTCAAGAGTTCTATAAGGCCAAAATCTTAGGGATGTAAAATCCAGAAAAAATCCTGTCCCATGAAATTGCAAGATATTACAGGAGATTTAATGCTTGTGCTCTGCCAATTGGCCTGCTACTGAATGTTATTAAGAGGCAACAGAGAATATCGCGGGGTGGTAATATTGGGCTCCTTCCAATAAACGACCCCTTCGACTCGAACATCACAAAAGCGGGAATTTCACATCACAAAAGCAGAAATTGCACATCTTGAAAACAGGATTATCACTCCCCCAAATTGGCAGTCTTGGATTTCTTCAAAACCCGACCCATGGTGCATTTCCAGCACGTGTGTGGAAGGCTAACATTTATCACCAACCCCACGTTCGCCCAGACACAGCCCCAAATGCCGAATCTGCGGGGCCGCTGTGCTGGCGCACACCGGGCCACACCCGTGCACCGCATAGTTAACAAGGCGCTGCTGCCTCAGCGACACCGCACTGGTTGGCGCCCCAGGGATCCCAGTTTTTCCGACTGCGGAACTGCGTGGGAGCAGGACAGCTAACCGGATCTTCGGATGCACTCTGAGCGAGCACCCCCTCACTCGCTTTCTTGTTTTCAAGACCATTGCCTGGAACCGAACAAAAATCTGCGCAAATTGGTCGTGTCGTTCTCGCCTGCTGAGTTCCGACAATTTTTTCATTGCTCTACGCATACATCCCTGAACCGCGAAGATGGCGCTGTCTGCCTCCTGGACGTCGTTCCTCAAGTCCATTGCGTCGTATAACGGCGACTTGTCGTCGTTGACGGCCCCACCCTTCATTTTGTCCCCCACGTCTTTGGTTGAATATTCCCAGTACTGGGGCGAACACCCCGATCTTTTGTTGGAGCCAAACTTCTACCAGAGCGGCGACGGTAAGGATGGCCAGGATGCAATGGCGGTCAAAAGGATCATTGCCGTGACGAAGTGGTTCATCTCTACGTTGCGCTCGCAATACTGCTCCAGAAACGAGAGCATGGGCTCCGAGAAAAAGCCATTGAACCCATTCTTGGGTGAGCTTTTTGTCGGGAAATGGCCCGATCTGTCGAAGGACCAGAAACTCGGCGAAACGGTGCTTTTGAGTGAACAAGTCTCGCATCACCCCCCTGTGACGGCCTACGCCATCTTGAACGAGAAGAACAACATGACGTTGCAAGGGTACAATGGCATCAAAGCCACGATCAGCGCTACACTGATCAACGTCAAGCAGTACGGCCACGCCATCTTAGAATACAAGGACTTGAACGAGACCTACTTGATTACTCTCCCTCCTTTGCACATCGAGGGCCTCATTGTTGCTTCGCCATTTGTGGAGTTGGAGGGCACCTCGTATATCCAGAGTTCTTCTGGATACCTCGCCGTAATCGACTACGCTGGTCGTGGGTACTTCAGCGGAAAGAAGAACACCTTTAAGGCGCGAATTTACAAAGACAAATTTGCAAGTGCGCATAAGGAAAACGCTTTGGTCACCATGAGCGGACAATGGTCGGGCAAGTCCTACATCGGTAAGGGCTCGCGCACGCCAAGCAGCAGCGGTGAATTATTTTACGATGCCGCGGAGAAGACGCCAGAGCACCTTGTCGTCAAGCCAATTGAGGAACAACACGCGTTGGAGTCCAGAAAGGCATGGGAGAAAGTGGCCATTGCCACGAGATCTGGTGACTATGACCTAATTTCCAAGGAAAAATCGCTCATTGAGAATAAGCAGAGAGAGATGAGAAAGCTGGAGCGGGAAGCGGGATCTTTGTGGAATGTGCGGTGGTTCGATCTGGTCGATTTCAACGGCGAGAACGGGACGGCAGGCAGCGATCCATTGGTAAGCTTGGCTAACGTGGCCAGCTTGAGTATCGGGAACGTGCCGCTGGGCTCTGCCAAGGGATGCAAGCGTGAGGGCGAATCAAAGCTTCACTGGAGATTTGCCAGAGACAGATGGGAGGACGAGAAGGAAGTCAAGATTTGATGAGAGGTTCGTAAGAACACCAATGGTCTTTGGGGGCTGAAGACACTAAGCCAGGGAAGATTGTAGAGTTAACGCAAGCTGGCCAGGCCACGTGGAGGATCCTGCCAGACATGTTTTAATGCGAATAGTGTACGAGCGACGGAAAGAAGCAAATATGATGAATCTGGTCGAAAGAGCAATTTCTTTACTCTTCAATTTTTCGTCTGCTGAGTATTACAAGTATCACAAGTATCACAAGTATCACAAGTATCACAAGTATCACAAGTATCACAAGTATCACAAGTATCACAAGTATCACAAGTATCACAAGTATCACAAGTATCACAAGTATCACAAGTATCACAAGTATCACAAGTATCACA